TTTCAGGATTGCTGTTTTCTCTGTTTGGCTTAGTTTTTTGGATCTTTGCTGTGGAGGGATGGCATGGTGCTTCTGCCTAGAGAGCCATTTTGCTAGAAGTCCCTCCATGTTTTGATATAATGTTTTTCCTGTGTAAATGATGGAAGTTAATGCTGCCTAATGCATTTGCTTATTGTTGATTGAAAAGACCAACTACCTTATTTGTCTTATGTTCCATGATGTCAGTTATACCTATAGCTGGGAATTTCTAGACTAATTAGATGTTTCAGATACATACCATTGAAGTTCTTAAGGTTTCCTTTTTGTTATCAAATCTTCCTTTTCACCACTATCAAATTGCAATTTTGGCATATAATCCCCTGATTTGACATTTTAGTTTTTCCCTTGTGAACCCAGACCTCTTTCTATTAACACCACTTTTATAGAATAGCTATACTCCTTACAACCTGTTTCAAACTGAAATCCACATTAATTTTTTTTCTAATTATTAGGTTGATGAAAGACATCAGAGCTGAAAATTCTAGGAGTTTTGTTTTTGTGTACTTTTCTCCTACTCTTTTTAATTTTTGGCTTATGATTTTTTGGAGTCATTCCTTGTTTTGATATATTGTTCTTTTCCTGGAGGACCAAACTCCTTGCCTTTAATGCCCCTTGTATGTTAATTCCATGAGCTTATTGATATCATCTCTTACTATTATTGTATTTTAATTAATCATTATAGTTCAGGAAACTACACTTTTTTAATAGATAGATAGAGAGATAAGAACTGTCGAACTTTTTATATTCTGCTTCATAACTTTGGTCATAATCTTTTGAGGGTTTTGGCTTTGTACCCCATTTATACTGTCAATTCTTAACTATTTATTTTTTCTTAATTGGCCATAGAAGTCTTACATGTTGTATTTAGAAATTGGGTCAGTACTTTATCTTTCTGTACTTAGCCTATTGGTAATACTCTTAGTGATAGTAATATTATACCCTTTATATTTCATCTGTCCTATAACTGAAAGTGTTTATTTTGTTTAAGCTGCAATTTGCTGTCTTTTTGCCCTAGTGTATTATTTCTGGGCAGTTTTTCTTTACTATGGAATTTATCTTAAGTATCGTTCTACTACAACTCACCGTTACCTTGGAAGCCTGGCATGAAAATACCTTTGTCAAACTAGCTCAGCTAGTTGCACAATCCATAAATCTTAGTGAGTGCTGGATCTGCCATCCTTTACCTAAAAATATACATGAGAACTCAGATCCATTATATACTCCCATATTGAATTATAGTTTTGTTCCCCCTACTACCATTAATTTTAACCTCACCTTTAAACAAAACATCCATGTAAGACTATGTCATCCTCCTGGGATGTTGACTTAACCCCAGGTCCCATGTTTCAATCTAAACTCAGATTAGAGCTAAAGATTATTCTAAAGTACCCTGGATCTCTCCAGACAGGTGTAAAAATGAGTGCTTAACTTCATATAATACCCCCACCCTAGATTTTGGAACACATTTTTTACAGGTGATCTAACAGTATGCCTGCAAGGAAAAAAGTCTTTTTGTGTTCAAACATGGAATTGGCTAAGATTAGGATGATTACCTATTTTTACTAACTCCTTGACAGAAAGTTGGCTTGAACAAATAAATCAAACCATCTGTCTCCCATGAAAAGCCACCTGGCTACACATACCTGAACAAACCAAATTCAGTTTTTCCTTTTCTGATATTTTTAGCTGGCTACCCAGTGGAGTGGGTGCCTGGATTAAGTCAATTCTGTTCTCTAGTGTCATGATTTTAATGTTAATAGTAATTATAATTGACACTGTTAAATGTAGTGTGAAAGTTACCACTAACGCTTTTTCCCAGAGAAACAACCTAATTAATGCTCATGCATAAGCTAATGTACGTAGAAATTATTAGTATTCTCCAGTATTCCCCAGGGTTTAGTTTTTTCACTTCCTGGAACGAGCTATTCTCCCTTTCATCCTCAAAGACAATTATTGTAGCGTGGTGAAGAAAGCAGGAGTTGCCCAAACAGCCAAGAAAACCTTGCAGAAGATGAGTCGCTCTTTTGTGAGTGACATGCGACCAACTCACCCTGAAGATGAGAACTCCCTATAGCAAGAAAAAAATTTTACTGGTGCTCTGCCATCTCTATCACATGACATCTGGGGTCTTAAATGCTTACTGTTTCAGGCAGTCACTAAAAAGTCAAGACCATGGAAAAGAAATTGACTTTTAAGTTTATCAGGGGATCTTCAATGAATCCCTGATCAAAAGGTGGGAATTGTCAAAGAAACTTTTATTGAAATCTTTGACCAAAGTTAAAAAAACATGAACTAACCTGGACCCCTGCTAAATTAAGAAAAATCAAAATTGACTACTAAACAATGCCTAACTTTTTGGGCTTCTTATCTTGCTAAGCCACCATAAGCAGTCAGGAAAACCCTCTTCCTCTGTTGTCATGTAGGGATGTGGAAGAAATGTACCTTAAAAGCCTATAGTCACGCAGATGCAGGAAGTCACATCTTGTTCCCATTGGGGATCAGGACACAAATACTTATCTGAAAACCCCTTGTGAAGGATGTTCTCAGAAATTATGTTGTCACAAGCAAGTTATTTTCAACTTATCTTGCTTACTGTGTTAAAACAATGCAATTTGATTTGTGTGTGATGTCTTTAAGAAACGCTTGCCCTATACGATCTCAGGAAACTTATGTCTTAAGAGAATGAATCAATACCTAGCAAAACCTGTTTGCTATCTGACTACGGGAACAAGCTCTATGCTGATACTGTCCTGTCACCGGTCTTCTGACCCAGCTGTCAGCATGTATATCCTTTAATCCAATCACTGAGCCCTGCTGTGAGAAAGTGAACTTCTAACTTCTGAATATTGTAAATTATGTTCTTTGTCTAAACCCTGTAAAAACGTTTGTGTAATTATTGTGCCTTGGACTTTTTGGTTTCATTTCAATGAGCCACACAGTTCCCAATCTGAATCATTCTTGAAACCCTTAATAAACCTCTCTGTTTTACTATGAAACAGTATTCAGATTTTCTTTACAACAGTAAAATAGGAGAAATAAGAGGTTTTAAAGCAATTCTTAATACACCATATATGGACTAACACCAGCTGTTCACCTGTAATTAATTAATAAACATTTATTAATTGTTGACATTGTCATTGGTGGCCATCAAGTTGATTCTGACTCATGGCGACCCCATGTGTGTAGAATAGAACTGTGCTCCATAAGGTTGTCAGTGGCTGATTTTTTGGAAGTAGATCACCAGAACTTTCTTCTGCGGCAACTTTGGGATGACTTGAACTTCCAACCTTTTGGTTAGCAGCCAGTCACTTAACTGCTTACACCATCCAAGGATAGTTTATTTATTAACAGCCCACTTATAATTTAGGTGTTACATGCAGCACACTTTGGGCAGGGAGACTACAAGAATAAATAAGTCTAAATATCTGTGATTAAATACTTTACATTTTTAATTTGTTGCATACTGAGTCTAGAAGACCCTGTCTCCAAATTTTAAACTCTACAACTGGAGTATTTATTCATAGATTTTTCTTGTCTGTAGCCCTATCTCAAAAGAGGCCTGAGTCAGAAATCTGGATTAAAGTCAGTGAAGAGATTTTTTTATTTCCAACCCCATTTTCCCCACTTCCTTCCTCCTTCCTGTCAATATTAATTTCTTGTTGTAACAGTAGCTCTAAATTAGGCAAATGAGAGACACTGAGTATTATTTATCAGTAGTAAGTGATATGTTCATAGCAATAAAATAATTTTAAAAAATCTATTATCCTTTTGATCTTGTGCATAAGCAGTTATCTAATGATGCTGTGTATTTTTTCTGTCCTACCCTTTGATGAGCTGTCACTGAGAAGGGTCTGTTTTGTTTTTTTTGGTTGTTGTTGTTATTGTTATTGTTCTTGTTTCCTTCCTCTCAACTTACACTTAACCTATCTCTCTCTCACTCTCTCTGAATATTGGAAGATTCCAAATTCTGTATGCCATATTGTCTTACAACTTGAATTCAAAGTTAACAATAATAAAGTAAAGTAAGTTGTTATAAAATGAAGCCCTGAGTTTTCTAAAATAAAAAACTACTAGTGAAGTACTGGAAGAAAAGAAAATCATAGACTCAGATGAAAAGTCACAGCATTTAATGGAATAATAAAGAAATAAAATCTGACAAGAAGTTATAGCAGATTGCAGATTGTTCCAGATGTGATGTGGTTCATGGTTCTCTCCCAGATTTGATATAGAAGAATGAGTTTGCTCAAAGTGAATAGCTTTTCACTGGGATGGGATTTAAAAAGTAACATAAACAATAAATAAATTGTGTGTATGTATAGATATAAATATAGATGTACAAACATGCATATATACACACACGTACACATATAACATATAGATGTATAGGTATAAATTTGTGTGATTAGGTGCAACCTTATGTATAATAGAATGAAACATTGCCAGTCCTGCATCATCCTCATAATCTTTGCTATATTTGAGCTCATAGGTATAAATACATGTACATATATATATAATGACCTATCAGCTTATAAAACAAAGTGAGAAAGTGATAAAAGATACATATATAGCTGTACATTCTTTAAAGCTAGTTTAAAGAAATTTACAAAATCATAATGATTAATCAAAATACTCATATAGTGCACACAGCTATATGAACCATGTGAATTACTGGATTTCTCTTTGTTTTATCCATTGTTCTGTCTGCTTTAGGTTTTCTTTTTCTTGCTAGGTGTGTTTTCAAAGGTCTATAATATGTAATTGTCTTAACTTTTCCTGTGCGTTGTTTTGTTTCACTGGGAAACCGAAATAGTACTGATGTTGTAAGAAACAAGAGCATATTCTTCTGGAAAATAAAGAGGAAGTGCATCCTTATTAAGGCTCCAATTTTCTACACTAAGGTTATGTCAGACAATATACACACATTAGGTCTAATCTTCCCAATAATTTTGCGGTAGTCACTCATTCCTCCTATTTTACTAATCCAGATATATACCCTTAAAGTTTAAGGCACTTGATGAAATAAGTTCAAATAATAAACAATAGATTCAGAATTCAAATATTCCTCGGCAAGTTTTAACAATAAGGAATTAATAGCATTTACCCTCCAGAGAAAATTTTTTATGATTTCTACCAAAACCAGTTGTCATCAAGTTGATGCCTACTCATGGAAACCCCATGTGTGTCAGAGTAGAATTGTGCTCCATAGCATTTTCAATGACTAATTTTTCAGAAGCAGATCACCAGATCTTTCTTCCAAGGCACCTATGGGTGGACTCAAAGCTCTAACTTTTTGGTTAGCAGCCAAGAGTGTTAACTGTTTGCACCACCCAGGGACACCATGGTCTCTGTAAAATTTTAGTAGTTGCTTTGGAATCTAAGATATAAGAAATCAAAATTTTCCATAACATTCCCAAATATAGACTACTCTCCTTCTTAAATCAAATTCCACAGAAGTGGCATGAAAATGTAAATCTTGGCATTAATAAAAAGAATAACAAAATGACCTGGCAGCTTAGCATGGTTTATATTTTAAGTTGAAAGGAAGCCCTTCCACATTATATGAAAAGGATTTTAAGTATTGAAAAATTCTAGTAACTAGAAAATAGCCCAATCAAAGATATATTATGGAGGGGAAAAATTCAATATACAAAATAAAAACATATATTGTTTAGTCTTTGTAGACTGAGGATGGTTCTGGAAAATTTAATGGCTCAGGGGCTCTCAGATGTGGTCATCATGATCAATAGCCTCAGAATATGGTTGCTGCTTGCCTACCTTTTTTGTAATAATCATAGACCATGACTAAGGCGGGCTGAATGTTGGACACACGTTTGCCTTGCTCAACAGAGAAAGTGAAACTCTTTGCTGTACCAAAAACCTGTAAAGACATGAATTATAAATACATCAGAGCAGGTCTGCAAAAAGAAATTCACTGAACAAATTATTTCCAAAAGAATCATGATCTACCCAGTAAATGAATCCAGGGTACCGTAATTTTACATAATGGCAAAATAATTAGTTAGCACTAAATTGTATACAGTGTTGTTATAGTGCATACATTGAGGTACAAGGCATTTAGTTATAAGCGGTAGAGTAAAATGTAGGCATTTATGGGAGTGATAATGATGCACACATAGAAAGGATGGTTCTAAAACTCATGTCACCCACCCTTCATTGGAGTTCAGGTCAAACTATAAGAGAATTATACATCTAATCTGTAACCTGACTATGTTCAATCCTATGAGAAATGAAAAACAAAGAGATGATGTTCCTAAACTTAGGAAGCATCCAGTCAGGGAGCCAAGGCATATATGAAATAACTTCAGAGTTAATAGGGAGAAGATGATTAATGGGACAGAGCATGGTCAATTTTTAATATTCCTTTATTTTTAAAAAATTGTATTTATTTTGTTATTGAGGATATACACAGCAAAACATACACCAATTCAACAGTTTCTGCATGTACCGATTAACTACATTGATTGCATTCTTTGAGCTGTGCAACTACTCTTACCCTCCTTTTCTGAGTTCTCCCCCTCCATTAACATAAACTCACTGTGCCCTAAGGTTCCTATCTAATCTTCTGAGTTGCTGTTGTCAGTTTGATCCCATATAAATAGTTCTTAAAAGAGCATAATGCTCAAGGCAGACTTTTTTTACTAGTTAAGCTAAACTATTGTTTGGTTTTAAGATGACTTCAGGGGATATTTTTGATTTCATGTTTAGAGATTATCTCAGGGCAAGAGTTTCAGGGGTTCATCCAACCTTTATGGCTCCAGAAATTCTGGAGTCCATGAGAATTTGAAATTCTGTTCATTTTCTCCCTTTTGATCAGGATTCTTATATAGACTCTTTGATCAAAATGTTCAGTAATGGTAGCCAGGCACCATCCAGTTCTGTTCTCATGGCAAAAGAGGTAGTTGTTCATGGAGGCAATTAGCCACAGATTCCATATCTTCCTTCTATTCCTGACTCTGCTTCTTTCTCTGTTGCTCCAGGTGAATAAAGACCAATTGTGTCTTGGATGGTCACCTGTAAGCTTTTAAGACCCCAAACACTACACAATGAATTAGGAGGTAGAACAGAAGCACTAAAAACATGTTATTAGGCCACTTAACTGGGATATCCTGTGAAACCATGACCCTAAACCTCCAAACCAAGAAACCAAATCACATGAGGTTTTTGGTTGTACATAAGCAGTCTCAGCAGAACCTTTCTTTTTGTCATTGTTGTAAAAATATATCTATCACACAACTTTTGCCAATTCAACTTTTTACAGGTGTACAACTTATTGACAGCAATTACAATAATCTGTTGTGCAACCCTATCCTTAATCAATGCAATATTTCCATCACTATTAACCCCCTGTTTCCCCCTCTCTCCTGCCCCTGGTAACCACTAATAAACTTTGGTCTCCATAGATTTGCCTTTTCTTGTTTTCTTATATAAGTGAAGTCATGCAATATGTGTCTTTTTGTGATTGACTGATTTCACTCAGTGTAATGTTTTCTAGCTCCATCCATATTGTAACATGCATCAAGACTTTATTTTCCCTAGTGGCTGAGTAAGATTCCATTGTATGTATGTACCACATTTTGTTTATCCATTCATCTGTTGATGGACATTTAAGTTGGTTCCACCTTTTTGCTAATGTGAATAGTGCTACAACATTGGTGTACAAGTCTCTTTTTGAGTCTCTGCTTTCAAGTCTTTTGGGTATATAGTAGCAGTGGAATTGCCGGGTCATATGGGTAGTTCTATTTTTAGTTTTTGGAGGAACCACCACAGTTTTCCACAAAGGCTGTACCATTTTGAATTCCCATCAGCAATGGATAAGGGTTGCAATTTCCCCACATCCTCGCCAACATTTGTTATTTTCTGTTTTTGTTTTTAAATCTTAGCCACCTTACGCATTGCTGTTGAGAAGATTTCAACCCATAGTGACCCTATGGGACAGGGCAGAACTGACCCATAGGGTTTTCAAGGAGCAGCTGGTGGATTCAAACTGCCAGTCTTTTGGTTAGCAGCTGAATGCTTAACCACTGCACCACCAGCCATCCTAACGGGAATGAAATGGTATGTCATTGTGGTTTTGATTTGCATCTCTCCAATGGCTAATCATGCTGAACATATTTTCACGTGTTTGGTGGCCATTTGAATGACCTCTTTGGTGAAACGTCTAGTCAAGTCCTTTGCTCATTTTATGATTGGGTTAATGTCACTTAATTTTTGACAAATCCTATCAGGTATATCTATAACAAATAGAAGCACCCAATTACTCTCAGAGGAAAAAAAAAAAAAACACAAAAGCAAAAATTATTTTGGAACTTACATTATCCAAGTGGAAAAGAACATGGTCACTCTTGACTTCAGTCTTCATCACTTGGCCATTGTTTTCAAGCTTTGAAGAAATTGGCAGGGGGTGATGGGGATAGACATTAGAACTAATGATAATACTATTCCAGAACTGAATGATTCATACTTTTTTTTTTAACCAATTTTCAGGAATATATTTTATGGAATGATCCTATAGTGTCATGATATTTTCATAAGCACAAGTAGAAACTAAATAAAGGAATAAATTATGCACTATGAAAAATGAATGTTACTTGCTACAAATTAAGAACACCATCCCTGAAGGATTACAGCGACAATATAAATGTGAACCCTGAGTAAGTTTTTTTTTAAAAGAAGAGTGCCGTGGTTCAGTTTTGCTAACCAATTATTTTATTTATACATTATATTCTTTTTCTGTCCCGAAAGATTGAGCTATTATTTACCTCCTCAAGGGATGACATGACTGGAGTAAATCCTGACAGCATTTTTACATCAACAATGACCATATTGGAGCTATTGCGAATTCCAGTGTAGCTGAAATTAAACAAAACGAAACAAAAAACCCATTAGTTTTCTTGATGGAGATGGTATGTCGGTAGATACCAATTGGCTAGAAGTCCAGAGGAAAGGCAAAAGTTAAAGAGGAAGGAGCCAAAGAAAGCCATTCTCAAGCAACTGAATATAGTTGCATCCAGAGTGACAATGGATGAAATGATACAAAGTAACGTAGATGGAGCAAATAATAATTATCTGGAACTAGAATCTATCTCCCCAAACCCCAGCTCTTAAGCTTATCTAAGGCCTCAAAGTCAGAACTTATAAACAAAGTTTACAAATTTTTATTACATAAGCTTATGTTAGTTCTAGATTTACACAACACTTAAAGGAGATCTTTGTTTAAAAAGCAGAAAGTTGAAAGAATCACGGAGTAGGCATGTTCCCAAGAGATCTTCTAGGTTATGCCCCTGCCTCTGGGTAGGGTTGTTGGGACAAGAAGTTAAGAATTCCACAATGTATTTAGTTGCTATCTTACCTCAAATTTCCCAAACTACTTTTACTCAAAGTTTCTCCATGTATTGACTAAGGCTAAAACCCTTTGGAATCTAGAAATAAATTTCAGTTCAAGGGGATTATTTTGTTTATCTACTCTGAAGAAGAAAAATCTAAATTTTTTGTTCTGTAGAGTTATAAAATAAATATTTGTGAGCTTTATACCACAGACCCATCTGTGCTTGTCTGTAGGAATAAAACTATCCTCTCCATTGTCCAAAACTGCCAGTGCTTCTGTTCAACAAAGTCTAAATATTGCTGGAATGTTGGTGGGGCAGAATCTTTCAAGTTATACTTACATAAGTCTAGCTCTGACTTAGCTTAAGACGTACTAAGTGGCGGTGTTCACTGTCATAGTTACCAAACCCAAAAAAATACTGCCGTCAAGTCGATTCCGACTCACAGCGACCCCATAGGGTTTCCAAGGCTGTAAATCTTTACGGAAGCAGACTGCCACATCTTTCTCCAACGGAGCAACTGGTGATTTCGAACAACCAACCTTTTGGTTAGCAGTCGATCATTTTATCCACTGTACCACCAGGGATCCTGTTATACTTACCAGTATTCATAATTGTTATTTTACTACTGTTTAAAATCTTTTTTTTCTTTTTTTTGCTGTATTACCATCTCTCTAACCTGGGAGCTGATATCAAAACGTGACACTTACTTGAAAGTCACTGTTAGGTCATAATTAGCCTGGAACGTATCTGAGGAGTTTTTCTTTACTATTTGCAAGGAAAGGGAAAATCCAGATACCTTCTTAGATACTAGCACATTATATCCAAGGGTAGCCTAGAATGGATAGAAAATAATAAGAAAACGTATCCATGAATCCTACAGTAAAAACTTAAGGACTTATTATTAATGCACTTTAGTTCCCATCTTTACCATAAGGGAATAAGGCAAAATGAATTTGCTTAGTTTTCAGAAGACACAAGAATCTTTAACAACATAATTTAATGAAGATATCAGAATGCTTTCTAGCAGTAGTATTCCTCAAGAAACTGCCTAATTACTCAGCTATAATTTACGGAGTACCTCTTCATAAAATAATTAGCCTTTTCAGCTATTGATTAGAAATTATCAATGAGGAAAAGAGGAGAGATATTCATGGAAAATATGAAAAGTGGCAAGATAACACTTCATAAATAACTTAACAGATAGCCTTACTCTTACAGGATAGACATTCATTTCCCTCTCACATAGATTTAGATTACCCGGGTAAATGTACAACCTTGTCCTTCCACATCTACTGTGTATTGTCCATACGCTTTTGCTAGTTCTGAACATTGGACGAGCAAGCGGTTGTCACCGGTAACCTGGAAAATCTCATTGGATTCTTCACTTCTAAAGGTGACAGTGTTTTGATCATCCGAGAAGGTGAGCTTCATGTAGCGGGTTATGGCAAGAAGACAGACTGTGGTGTCCTGCACAAAACAGTACAAGCAATGATCCAAGCTCTTTTTTATTAGTCATCATTTGAGCATCAACTTTAAGTCAATCCACAGAAATATTCTCAAGACAAATCAACACAACACCAACAAGCAATATCCTGGACAACAGAAAAATACATTTGCATATGCTTGAAAGTGATTTCTTTTTAAATTAATTTTAATTCAACAAGTCTTAACTAGCTTTTAGTTTTCTAAAGGATTTTATAAAGTATAATCTCTGCCGTTGGAAATAGTGTCAAATCTTTTCTAAAAGTTAAGGTGTTATATAATTCAGTGACCTCAGAGCTTCCTTGGATAATGCTCATACCCAATCATCTTCAAAGAAGGGAAGTCAGAAGAAGGAAAGGATGCTGGGGAGATTTACTGAGATGATTGTACTCAGAAACTAAGCCTGAAAAAAGAGAAGGAAGTGATGACTCTCTTCCTGGGAACGAAACTCCATTTTCTTGCATTTTTATTTTTTTCCTATAAGGAAAGACATAAATTATACTCATTTTTCCTGCTACACATTCCATTCATCTGCTTTTGCCAATGTATCGTGTTGCCGTCAAGTCAATTCCAACTCAGAGCTACCCTACAGGACAGGGTAGAACTACCGCATTGTTTCCAAGGAGTGCCTGATGGATTCGAACTGCCGACCTTTTGGTTAGCAGCTGTAGCTCTTAACCACTATGCCACCAGGGTTTACTTCCCAATGTATAGACCACAAAAATAGAGAAAAATCTTTCAGTTTTGAAGAACATGTCATTTGCAAAAAATGAATTCTTGGTTGACATGCAGTTTGACCCTAGTGTCTTCAGACAGCTAATGTACCATCAACTCTGGTACTTATGACTACAATCTCTCTAGACCTACATTCTATTTTTACTGGGTAAATGCAGAAATAGAAAGAGGGCATAAACTCCTTGAAACAGGGGCCTTATTTTATTTATTTGCATACAGAGACTTTCTAGTAGAGTGTCTGATAGGCAATAAGCCCCCAATAAATAATTGATGACTAAATAAAGCAGGATTTATAATATCAAATATTCTACCTCACAGTGATCATATAGATTATTATAGAGTAGCTTTTTCTGCATTACACATATTGTTATGATTAAGCCCACATCAATCACCTGGGTGGAGCAGAAGCCTCCATGGGAATTCATCTGCTGCGCAAGCCACTGCACAATGTTACTAGCATAGGTGAGGTCAGGAGTTTTCTGGGAAATGACAGCCAGCAGCACATAGCAGGTCTTCTCAGTCTCAGCAGAAAGTGCCCGAGGAAGGAAAGAGGGGGATTCTTCTGTCTTGGGCTTCTTTGCTCTCTCCCAATATATCACAGTGTCTGAGAAAAAGGGAGAATTTTCACACAGTCTCTATAAAGAGTACTGATTACAAATAAGAAGGAGGCAAATTCCATTCTTGGCCTCAAATAGCAACTTCCTAGGGTTACAAATGTTATGTGATTGAGTTTTGCAAGCATTATTATTGTCTATGGCATAGTCACCATACTTGATTTCCCTTACCTCACTCATTTGAGAAGAAACTAGCAGAAAACAGAAACAGGAAAATAGAAAATATATAATGATCTTTAAAGATAAAGGCTTTTATGGATTAAATTGTGTCCACCAAAATGAAATATGGAAGTCCTAACCTCTGTACCTATAAATAGGACCTGTTTGGAAATAAAGTTGTCTTTTGTTATGTTAATGAGGTTATACTGGAGTAGGGTGAGTCCTAAACCTAATCCCTTCTAAGTGAAGTCTTATAAAAAGGGAAAACAGACACAGAGAGATACACACACAGGAGGAAGATACATGGCATGTGAAGATAAATCTATAAGCAGTCCAGGAATAGCAAGGAACACCCGGGACTGCCATGAAGATCAAAACCTTCCCTAGAGCTGATGCCCTGATTTGCATTTCTAGCCTAGAAAACTGTGAGACAATGAACACTTGTTCTCTAAAGCCACCCACTTGCGTATTTTTTTGGAATGGCAGCACTAGGTAACAAGACAAGGGCCACTGGGAAATTCCATAAGATAAATAGAAACAGACTGGTGAAGAGCGGGTTCCTATATGATTGCTAAGTAAGTTTCATCACTTTGTTCTCTTCAGCAAAAGTAGATAACAGTAATTACTTATTTTTTTGTTGCAGATTGATCCAGGATCTGGAGTAAAGATTCCACTTGCTCCTCTTTTCCAGCTAATGCAAAAGCATAAGCTAGAATTGCATGATTCTAGCCATTAGTGACACCATTTTCCAACGCCTCCTCTAGGCAAGAAAGCCTGTTTCATAGAAAAGGAAACTAGTCAGGAGAAGAATCATATATTTTAAAATAATACTTGAACACTTTATAAATTTGCTGAATATCTAAAATATTCATTCTCTGTAATGTATATAGTAATATATCCTTGATGTTTATTTTCACACACAAGCCTGTTCATACACACACACATATTAAAGTTCAGAAATATTGTTAAAATAAATTTGAAATGGCATTATTAGTATGCTAGAAATAAAATTTAAGTAGTAATAAAATGAAGGATTCTACATTTGATTAGTAATATTTTAGTTCATAATACAAATTTCTTCTATGTGGCAAAGCATACATGTTTCTTATTAGACCTAAGACATTTTATTCTAATACCTAAAATAGAGGTTTACATTCTTAAAGAAGATTTTTGAGGTATACTAATAATCCTGAAAATTCCTAGTATCTTAGTTTAGGAGTAGATTTTAGAATCAGATTATCTGACCTATGTATTGGGAGGTAGCTAGGATGAACCACACTCAAGTGGAAAATGTTTACACACTGAATTTATATGAGACACAGAATACTTGGTTATGGCCATGTTTGGAGCAGGCGTTCTTAATTTGAATTTATGGCTGAACTTCACAAGATACATAAATAACTTAATTGTATGAAAAACATGTTTATGTGTGCACATGTGTATTATCCCTAGGGAAAGGCTAATAGTATTCCTCATAGGTATCTACCAAACAAAAAGTTTGAATTGCATAAATTCAAAGGGTGGTAATGAGCAAAATGTAATCTTGATGCTTCACCCAGTCTAAGAATTTCAAATGACTTTGAACTCATAGTCTGTTGAATGTGCATTTAGCTGACTGAAACCAAAAGATGATGGGAATCCGTACAGTAAAATTGAGCCCAGCTTCAAGAAATGCTCCAACAATGTAGGCAGTGAGTAAAACGTCCTCTTCATCTCCACCCTAAAAACAAAGGCTTAATGAGTCATACAAGACAATAGAGTACAAAATAATAGCTGTTGCTCTTAAGTGAAACTAAGTATACAAGAAATACTGGAAAGAAAAGCATTACTCATAAGACACTAAAGAACAAGTAATTTTTAAGTTAGATGATTAATAGCTTTGATACTTAGCAGTAATTCATCAAGATCCAATGCTATAATGAAATAAAACATAATAAAATTAATCCCAAGTATACTTAATGATATATATAATCGTATTTACATGACCCAGTATTAAGCATGCATTCCAGGCTATTCATATGACAGTATTTGACTCTATTTGACATAGACTTAAAAAAAGCAAACAAAGAATTTCTGATGGAGGTGAGACAGGAAGTTGATGTGAAGCTTCCTGAACATCCCCAGAAAGGTATCCTGGAAGGTTACAAGTCAAGTCTAATGAGTTCGTACAGTGTAAAATTAGAAAGATATGTATAAATCATGTGGTTTGTCAACTGACCGTGTGTCAAAATTCCCCAAGGAATTTAAAAATTAAACACCAGAATCCACACAGGAGATTCTGATTCAGAAAGTCAGGAATAAGATACAAGGAAATGAATTTTAGTCGATATTCTAGTAATTTTAATGCAAATAGCATGCATATTGGCATTTGGAATCCACCGATTCTAGTCCAAATCTCTAATTTTCTCTATTTAATCAAAAGGCAGCTTCTTTCTTCCTCAGAAAACAAATATTTCTGAGAAGCTCAGTTTTTAAGGTGCAAATAACTACAGATGGTAGAACCTAAAATAAGATATGGGGCCCAAAGCACACTTAAATTATAGCAAGTTGTATCACCATTCCTTTGCACTGTAAGTTTTCATTTGTTCCTTGCTTCTTTTTCCCTCATAACACAACACAACACAGCACAATACAACATACACACACACACACACACACACATTTCAGTATGGAAAAAGGATTGGATAAGCTTAACAAACCAAAACAGTGATTAGTAATGAATCCAATAAGAGAAAAAAAATGTAGAAGGTCTTTTAGAAGAGAACATGGAAAAGTCTGTGATTCTCCTAGGTAGGCACCAGGGCTTTTTTCCATCAGGGTCCTCCCATTGTGAAGGAAAGGTTTGGAATAATTTAAAGACATTTCCCCTCACCACATAAGGGTAAAGCAATTTGAAACAATTTTCATTAAATTAGATACCATAAGGAGGTGTCATATTTGAAGTGGATAAGTTTCACCAGTTTTATATTCCAAAATCCAAGAATAGGAGTGGTGATTATGAAGATGAACACAGAGGATTTGACAAGCCCAGGATATTTCAGGGTGTACCAGGACATACTAAAATATGGTAGGGGGTTTTGAACATCCGGAAGGAAACACAAAGGTTAAGGAAATAAAGTACACAAAAGATGGGTTGGAAGTGGACAGCCTATCTGCATCTTTTAGTTATATCTGATTTTCCGCTGTAAATTTACTTTGAAGACCACTTCCTATCTGCGAAGAGAGGAAGTCAGAAGAAAAGGAGAATGCCCAGTGATTTATATAAATATGGACAGGGAAAGGAAAGAGGGAGGGGACAGCCAAGGACACATTTCACCTAGTTTGTATTTTGGCTTAGGGCAGGCTTGGCCCTTATGCGCTTCTTTGAGAGGGTATTGGAAGAGCTTGCTTCATTGAAACAGCAGTTACTAAATACTCCTCCCAAACTTTCCTGTCATCCAAGAAGAGGAACGAATTACCTTCTCAAGTTCCCCTCTCTTAATGTATTGTGTGATTCCAAAGTTACGTTTTCTCTCTAGGTTTACTTTCTCTCTCCTTTTTCCTATTTCCAGCTTATCTACTTCGAGGGACTGGGTCTACGGAAGAACTCAAGACTAAGGTGAATAAATAGAAGACCCGTGAGGAGTTATATCTTGGCTGTGGTTAAACATGTATGTAGCAGGAACGACAATATTGTCTAATACACCACAGGGCTACGCTAAAGAAAACTCAGAAGGGGTGAAATTCACAACGAAAATATTCATGTTCTAGTTTATAAAAACCAGAGATAGGGAAGGTAGGCAATGCAAAAGAGCAGGGAAAGCACAGACATCTGTTAGTCTCTGACCTCCCAGCCGTTGTTGAAAAGCTTGCCATCACTTTTAACGCAGCTGTTACCTTTCTGTCTGCTTGAAAGCCAGATCAAGGTTTGTTTTTGAACTTGTTCATCAATGTAAACATATTTCTTCATTCCCTCAAATGTCTTAAACGTAAGGGTAGTGAGCCTGTAATGCAAATCACCAGAACGAAAGGTAGGTGAAAAACAAAAAGAAAGCTATACAACGAGTTCACCGTCATTGTTCCCTTTGGGTAATGGATGAATCCAATTTGTTTAATATTGACTGGAACCAGTCTTTATTGATAGTATTTCTTTCCTGTGGGTCAATAAAATGTTATGAATAGTGAGAGTTAGAGTAGATAGTAGTCAGTGTGTTTACACCCAAACTTTTTGCCATATAGCCCATTAGATTATCCATGCATGGAGATAGATGAATGTAATTAGGTGCTTTGGGGCCTTCTAGTCTCACTATCTTGAATCTACATGGGACCAAAACAAAAACAAAAACAAAACCCATTGCTGTCGAGTCGATTCTGATTCATAGCAACTCTATAGGACAGAACAGAACTGCCCTATTTGGTTTCCAAAGAGTGGCTGGTGAATTTGAACTGCCAACCTTTTGGTTAGCTGCCATATCTCTTAAGCACTGTGCCACCAGGGCCCATGTGGGACCCAAGAAGTGCAAATTAATATGTGCCATTTTCTATGGCGTTAATCAGTTGCACAAGTACAGGAAGTTGTCATTAAATGATCAGATTGCTAAGTAAATTGCCATGAGACTCTAGGTATATTGTTGCATTTGTATTAGAATAATTAAATCTTTTAGTTTTATCTGATTCTTCTCTGTAAATTTACTTTAAAACTCACTTTGCTTCCAAATCCCCATTGAATTTAATCTTTCTCACTTCCTGCCAAGTCTTACCCAGGGAATTCCTATCATTATTTAAACTAAAATTTTCATCTCTCACCATATGTTTCCTTGCTGATTCCTCTGCCAAAACACAGTATATGAGCCATCAGAGTTCTTGAAAAGCAATTGCTTTTGATAACCTAAAATACAATATTGAAGTAAATTACTTTTTAACCCAGGAAAGTTAGAAGAAAAAGAATGGTGTAATGAATGACCTAGGCATAAATTACCAAGATAATCATTTAAATTTCTTTAAAACTCAGGTTTTCTATCAATAAATGTGAAAAAATAAGTCGAGCATTATGGGTTTTTGAGGCCAAATAAGATATTACATGTGAATATACCCAGCTCAATAGCTGGCTTATAAATGGCAATTGCTAATTGCTTAATATCCTTTCCCTTAAGGTTATTTTACTTTATTGTTACCTTTCTGAAAAGAAATCCCAACAAAATTATCTCTCTAAACTTTGACCTTAAGATCACATTTTACAAGGTTTATATGTTCTCTTTCTACATACAAATCAAATCATCCACTTCAATGGAACATAACTGAGCAGAAAAATATAGAACTTAATAAACAAGCCATTTACAACTACTACTAACAACCACAATAACGAACAAGGTATTCTGGCAAAATATTAGGTGCTTAAAGAAATAATCAAGTTCATAATTTGAAGCTTCATAGTTCTAAGTAATGAAGCTAACTATTTGGACAATGACCACACAAATTTTGAAAACATTTAAGTCAAAAAGAAAATTTAGCTAGGACTCAGAGTACCTCTGTTAAAATCCACTTTTTCCTTATCAGATTACCTTACAGTTACATGTTTGTGATAACAAAAACTGATTTGCATCTATTCGTGTAGAAACTACTTAAATCTTCTCACCACTAGATAAGAAAAAGGCAGCTTTAGATTTACCTTCCTCTGTCAACTGTTCAGTGGATTTCAGGTAGTCAAGGACATAGGTGTCAGACGCTCGTAGGGCTATATTCTGCTCTCCACATCCATAGGGCATTTGGAGAAGATTCTCCAGATTCTGCATCGCAAGTCCGAGACTATCCCCTGGAATTAGAAGAAACATAAAAATCAGAATTGCTTATATTTGCCATCTCAGCATTTATAATCACAGATAAAAAGGCATAATGGGAGTAAAAAAACATTTAAAACTGAGTCCAAAAAGTTTTCATGAAGTAATTTAAATTTTAAAGAGAAGATAACCATAAAGGATGAACTAAACAGGTTTCTGATATGAAAAATATTTCTGAAAAGCTTAAATTCTCATTACTAGGGTGAGGGGATAGTTAGGAAAGTGTGCATTTGCTTGTTTGCTTGCTTGCTTGCTTGTTTTTCAGAAACCTTATGAATGGGTTCCTTGTAAATTCTAATCCATTCCTTTGCAAAAGGTGTTAATGTTAATGATAGACAAAGATGAAGTTTGTCTTTTGCCTTTTCTCCTTTTACTGAGGAAATTCCCATCAAGGCAAAGTTTATTCTGAGTCTCCAAGGGAGAAATTCAATAGTTCAGGTTATTGGTCTATAACAGAACCCTCTGTTTCTGAATACCATTTATCACCCACCAGGACTAATGTTTCATAGGGACGTCGGTTTGGAAACGGTATTAAAATCCCTTTAGATCCTGTATGGAAACAAACATAAAGGCTGATCCTGAACAATAAGTTCCTCCAGATGGCAGCTGAAGAGAATCTCTCCATCCTGTTATTTTAAGGGTTTTTTTTTTTTTTTTTTGAGACTTTCACCAAGATTTTTAAATCATTTTGAAATATAAAATTTAACCAACTTAGCCCCAACAGTGAAAAAGGCCCTGGCTAATCCTTCTACTACATTATTAGGCAAGTCCAAAACTGCCTGTTTGGTGGCTTTGGTACCTGGAAGGAAAATATAGACCAAAAATAATGTGACAACTTCCTTCTATAAACAACAGCAGCAGATTTGTGAGACAAACATATTAGGATTCAGATTCCATTATTTATTTTTATTTTACAAGTTGCTTGTTAGAAGATACAAAATTGAGGTTTTGAGCTAGTTCAGAATAACAATACATTAAGAAAGTAATATATAAATGATATGTTAGATAATGGCCTTATTCTCAATTAATTCATGGTGTAAATAAATGGTTAATGGCTCAGCTGGTAACCAAAAGGTTGGAGGTTTGAGTTCATCCAGAAGTACCTCAGAAGCAAGGCCTAGTGATCTACTTCCAAAAACGTCAACCATAGAAAACCCTATGGAGCAGAGTTCTATTCTGATACACATGGGGTCACCATAAGTGGAAATCAGCTCGATGGCAACTGGTTTTTTAAAACTATTTCATGTAGGAAATAAAGTGTAAAAACTACTGACTATAACATATAAAATAGCGCACACAAAAAATAAATTTTGAAGTCTCCTATTAAGCATGAAAATCAGATCACCCTCACGACAATACTCTTGATGGTCGTAAAGCAGGTGATTGAGAGACAGCGATTTATCTATGGGCTGTCTCACACTCAGAGTATAAAAAGTAAATAAACAAACAAACAAATTTATTAATTAATTAAATAAACCCCTTGCCATCAAGTTAATTCTGACTCATGGCAGCCCATGTGTTACAGAATAGAACTGCTCCTTAGGGTTTCCTTGGCTGCAGTCTTTATGGAGGACTCCTGCTGGTGCAGTGGTTAAAAGCTCTGCTGCTAACCAAAAGGTCAGCAGTTCCGATCCATCAGCCACTCCTTGGAAACGCTATGGGGCAGTTCTTCTCTGTCCTGTAGGGTTTCTATGAGTCAGAATTGGCTTGATGACAACGGGTTTGGTTTGGTTGTTTGGTAATCTTTATGGAAGCAGATCCCCAGGTTTTTCTGCCTCAGTGTTGCGGACGGGTGTGAACTGATAACATTTAGGTTAGCAGTCGAGCACAAACTGTGCCACCCGGGGATCTTAAAAGTACAGAAACAAAAGTCATATTATGTGTTATTGGGCATAATCCTGATTTCTCACTATCCAACACTGTGTGAGGAGAGAAGCCAAAAATATACAAATGGGAAGAATAGGCTGAAACAGACCAAAGTCACAGGTGAATTGAAAAGATCTCATAAATATACTTTTTGTTTGCTAAAATTATACAATGAAAATAGTGCATGAAATAAAGTAATCCTCCATGAGGAATACACAATAAAATCACTGAGGTAGACGGTATGCTAACCCCAAAAATCCAAACCCACTGCTGTGGAGTCAATTCTGACTCTTAGCGACCCTGTGGGACGGAGTAGAACTGCCTTATAGGGTTTCCAAGGAGCAGCTGGTGGATTCAAAATGCTGACCTTCTGGTTAGCAGCCAAGCTCTTAACCACTGCACTACCAAGTGGACTAATACGGAAGAAGAGGGAATAAACTGACTCTGTTGATATATTTTTGTTAGAACTAATTTGACCACTTAATGATCCTCTTACCTTTTGTAGAAAGTCTGGTGGCGTAGCAGTTAAGAGCTACAGCTGCTAACCAAAAGGTCAGCAGTTCAAATCCACCAGGGTTCAAATCCTTTAGGGTTGCTATGAGTCAGAGTCGACTAGACGGCAATGGGTTTTTTTGTTTTTTTGTTTTTCCTTACCTTTTGTACAGATAAGGAAACTTTGAGTCATTTCTCTTTCAATACCTTCAGGCTGTCAACGAGAAACAAAACAAACATAAAATAATGACAACAGATCATGATTCCATAAAGGAAAGGAAGGTAATGGAGCATCAGCTCACATAGGCATAGTTGGTACATGTTTGTGCCTGGGAGAAGATCTATTCATTGATCCCTTCCGTTTATATCTCCATGTCACCATACATTATCAGCACCCACTTTAGGGATAGGACAAGGATGACATCTGTGTTATTGTGGGACACTCTCAACTCCTCTGATCCTTTGTAGCACCTCAGTTGACAAAAGTGTTTTGTATAGTTTAAGAACGTGCAAGAGGCCAGAGGAGAATGTTTCTTTGATAATCATTTATACTTTTTGAGGATGATGGAGAGAGCACAGGAGTCATTATCTCTTGGATTTGAGAATCAGTTAAATAAAGGAGTGGGGTGGGGGGAGGATAAGTGTACAGGAAATATCATGAGCCAGCTGCAAATGAAAAACTGTCACGTCTTGTTTGAAGTATTATTTTCATTATCTTGGGTCAGTTACTAATTTAAGAAAGGATGGATTTAATTACTGTTTTAATTCATTTAAAATGGCTTGTCTCGTGTTAAAAGTAATCATGCCCAATTAATTAATTCTTCTCAACAAGAATGTCTTCCAGTGTTTAACCTCTTATATACTGTCTGTTTCTTATCAGGAAGAGCTTAATAGCTTTGCACATACATACCTCTACCAACAAACTTCTGACCACAGTGTCTTTCCATCTTAGATTTTGCCGCTCAGTTGCTTGATTTGGGCAAGCACTACTTTGTTTAGATTCACCAACTACAGTGATATTCACTTTACCTGAAAAAGTCCCCAAATATAGGTTAAATTGACCTTTGCCTTTTCTGTAACAAGAAATTATTAGAATCTGTGAGCCATTTCTTGGATTTGTTGAACTGTATCCTATTGTTCCTTCTCTTGCCTAAAGATAATTTGGTATGTTCTGTTTTACCTATTTCAAGATTTCTTATATTAAATAAGTGATTAATTTATTTAATTAGAATATAAGAACCCTTAAGGAAAAAATAACTTTCTGCAAAGCCGACTAAGGCAATTTCTTGATATTGATTGTTTACATAGGGTCCATATGACAATATATGCAGATAGCATCAGATAACTAGGAGTCCTAACTTTGTTCAAGCTCAAACAAACAAAAATAGCAACATGTGATACAGTGGAAAGGACACTGGACTGAAATCAAGTGCTAGCAAGAACTCATTTGTTTTTAATTCCCTGTGATATCATAAGTTATGTAATTAAAGCTGATCTTTTGTTTCCTTTCTTATGACAATTAGGATCCCAAAGATAATTCTTTAGGTTCAATAGTACTTACATACTCACATACCAATACAGATTACCAACTTACTGTTGTTTTTTTTGTTTGTTAGTTTGTTTTGCTTCATTTGTTGTTTGTGTCCTCCACTTAATTGCAGAAAATTATGCCAGTCAGTACAGTATCTTTTCTCAATTGCCAGGGTAATATTTTTTGAAAACCTCATGTAGTAGAAAATTTGAGAAACTTAAAATCTCAATAGGATGAACCTTGAAAACATTATGCTGTGTGAAGTAAGTAGATCACAGAGAGACAAATAATTTTTTTTTCATTTTTTTTTAATTGTACTTCAGGTGAAGGTTTACAGAACAAATAGTTTCTCATGAAACAGTAGTACACATATTGTTTTATGACATTGATTAACAACACCACGACATGTCAACCCTCTCCCTTCTCGACCTTTTTTTTTTTTTGGTGAAAATATACATAGCCCCAAAGATACACCATTTCAAAAATGTCTACATGCACAGTTCAGTGACATCGACTACGCTCTTCCAATTGTGCTGCTATTCTCACTTTAGATGAAGTTTTACAGAACAAAATAGTTTCTAGTTAAACAGTTAGTACACATGACAATGGTTAACAACCTCACAACACATCAACACTATCCTTACTCAACCTTGGGTTCCCTATCACCGGCTTTCTTGGAGGGACAAATAATTTTATGATCCCACTTACATGAAATACCTGGAATAGGCAAACATATAGAGACCAAAGTTTAATAGTGGTTACCAAGGGGGTGAGGGAGGAGGAAAGAGGAACAATTGTTCAGCAAGCATTGAGTTTCTGTTTATGGTGATGGAAAATTTGACAAGGGATATTGGTGGTGGTTGCACAACAAGATTGATGTGATTGGTGTCACTGAATTGTACACGTGAAAAAGGATGAGGTGGCAAATGTGTTGCCTATATTTTTACAACAAAAAATATCTAATAGGAAAAATAGTCTGAGGCAGTCCAATGTCACAGGTGAACTAAAATGATCTCATAAATACACTATTTTCTTGCTAAAACAAAACAATGAAAATAGGAATAAAATAAAGAAAATTTTAATGACTTTTTTTAAAATTCATGATAATAAGCATTGTGCGTCTACATCATTTAGCATCTTTTACATACTAGAGTCTTTTCCATTTCCTTATATTTTCAACAAGATATTTTCAAATTTATTTTTCTATATTACAGATAATACGTGCATTGAGACAATACTTTGGTGTTTGATCTCCATCTAAGTACTCAGTATTTTTTGGTGTCTCATGATATATTACTAACTTGCAAATGCTACAAATTCCCATACCTGATCACAATGGGGAGCAATTTTTGTATGAATGACATAGGTCCATGATGGTAAGAGAGGGATCAAGTGAAAAGTGGAGGAATTAAAATATTGTCCCACAAAGGCAGCATCAATGAAAATTTGACCTTAAGAATTGATTAGGGTATATTGTATTTCGATTACACTATGCTTTTATACCAGTGAATGGTGGTTTTGCTCTATGACAGTATTAGCATCAGGAAATTAGATTATAAAAATAAGATTTTTTAAAATGGAGAATAAAGAAAAAATAGAGCTAAAAATGTGAGGGAGAAAATTAGGCTTATATAGAGGATGTAAGGAAAATAGAGGCAATAAAAAATGGGCTGGTTTTCCATGAGAATGGAGTAAACACACAGCTGCTTACCCAATTTCTTAGGTATAATAGTCCACATGTACGTTTTCCTCTCTCTGGCTTGGGTAATCTCACTACCATTGCTTTGCAGGGTGTTACTACTTGCCTCATAATTCTCAGATGCTTCCAGTTGAACAGAAATCTGAAAGAACAATCAGGCAATGTGGATAGCACTTTATTTTGCTGTTACCATTCCTCCCTTCTTGAGAATAATCTGTTTTATCTGTTTTATTTTAAATTGGCAAAATTGAAAGATACCAAATGACTTGCAGCGCAATGGATCACTTTTGTGTGGCTTTTCTTGCCATTGTCTTGTAACCCCCACCCAAGTGATTGGGTGGGACTGTGCAAATAGGTAATTGTGGCACATCAAGGGGACTAGTCAGTTTTGCATCCCACTGGGCTTGAAATGAACCATCCCAGAGGCAGAAAGGAGAGGATCCCACCACCACCAAGGAAGAACAGCCAGGAGTGGAGCATGTCCTTTGGATCCGGGATCCTTGCCCTGAGAAGTTCCAGGAACCAGGAGAGAGAGAGAGGGAGGGAGAGAGAGAGAGAGAGGTAACACTGAAGATGGTGAGAATGGTGGCAGAGAAATGGTGGCAGGAGAAATTGGCAGGAGACAGTGCATTGGGCTTCCTGGCCCACGGAGTGAGAAAGCTGAATGTCTTTGGACTGAGGCTTACTGGTGGAGTGATCTGGGCACTTACTGGCAGAGCTAAAAGAGCTTTGTAACATTGGCCTGAGCAGGGCAGAGGATGAGGGGCCAGAGAGAGGTGTGCCTGTGGCACAGCTGCGAAGAGACTGTCCCGATGGAAGAACTGTATCCTGAGTGTTTCTGAGTCTGAATTGTAACCTGTTACTTCCCTAACAAACTCTATGATTGGGAATATTGTCTGTGAGTTCTGTGTGGCAATTGTGATGAATTATTGAACCCAGTACAGAATTAGAGAGTGCCAAGGGAGGGACTATTGGTGTCAGAATTGGTAAAGATGGAGGAGAGAGGAAGCATGTCTGACCTCTGCCTCATACGAATCAGCTTTGGGCTGTTGATCTTGATTCTCTTTCTCCTTTGTGAAATTAGAGAAGGTGAGACGCTGCCCCCATGTCATTTTTACATGACTCTTCACGAAAGAAGACATATATGGTAGAATGCACATCATTATGAAATGCTATTCTCAAAACAACAAACAAACAAATAAAACAAATTGTTGCCATGGAGTCAGTTTCGACTCATGGTGACCCCATGTATGTCAGAGTAGAACTGTGCTCCATAGGGTTTTCAATGGTGGACTTTTCTGGAGTGGCTCTCTAGGCCTTTTTTCTGAGGCACCTCTGAGTGGATTCTTAGCGGTGAGCGCATTAACTGTTTGCACCATCTAGCAACTTTGTATTCTGAATCAAAGCAGTATGTAAATCACCACAGAGAATTAAAGAAATTGTTTTTGTTTGAGGAAAATGGAAACATGTCTCATTGCTTTATAGTCCCATTTTGCATTTGGGAAAACGAGAATATAGCAATATGCAAAGAAATATTAAGGAATATTTTGACTTTGTTAGATTTTGTCCCCAGATCAAAGGGAACAGTTTACCTCTGCGCATGTATCCAGGTAGCTGAAGACAGTGACAATCAAATCAGATTGTTCATTTTGAACCTCTGAAAAGGGTAAAGTAGTTTCAACAAAGAAAGGTTGGAAGACTTCCAGAGTAACTGTTGATGAAATGCCAAATCCAACATCACCATTCACACAGAAGCCATTTGTCTCCCATTTGGTTATAGTATCAGGAATGAGGAGTGAAAGATTTGTGGTACCTGAGGAACTACAAGGAAAGATTACTGGCAAGACACATTCCTTCTCTAAACCAGCAATCTATATTTACTGCAGGGTAAAGAAGAATAAGGCAAAGTATTAACTGCAGGTTAAAAATGAGTTACAGTGGGGACAGGGCATTAGATAAAAATCTTGGTAGTTGGATTTCTATAAAATTTTACTTTAAAAAGGCCACATTTAATTTTCACATTTCTTCGAACGTCCTATTATTTTTTAAAAAATTGAGGCAGCTTACATCTATTTGCATAAAATTGATAGATGAATAATACTTGTAGAAAAGGTAGAGAGATATAATAAAATCCGAAGCGTGATCATTACATACAAATGATTAGTATTACATACTTCAGTACTGTCTTATTTACCCAGGAATAAAAGTTAGGAAATAAAAACAAGAAGAAAACATAAATAAAGACACATAGGAGAGAGAAGTATGTTAAAGGCTCACTTGACACTAACGAGGTCCCATATCCATGTCTCTGGGAAGTTTGTTCTTACTGTTTTCATTATAGCCTATTCTACATATCCAGAAGTCTCCACTAGGGCCTTACCAACTAAAAGAAAAGAAAAAAATGTTTATTTAGAGAGGAAATACGTGCCTTAATGATATACACCTGTATGCTAGGTCTTTAATCACACATGCTTAGTGTGCCTTCATGTGAACCAGTATAGGGATTTACCCTTGGGGCTCATTGTCAATAAATGCACATCTCAACCTAGTCATTAGCATTTCAGTGTTCAAATATCTCCCATTATAAAACAAAACAAACAAAAATATTCAACCTACATTGTTCCTCCAAAGCTAAATTTAGACAAAGTGATGTCTATTTACTGAATCCAGTTCCTCATCTGACATTCTGGTGTCTTCCAGAATGCAGTCTGGTGTCTACCATTTCACTATGCTAATATTACCTTTCAATAACCTGTCACTTTGTCATATATGGCAACTTGCATGTTTCCATGATGCTAGAAACTATGCCACCGGTATTTCAAGTATCAGTGGGGTCACCCATGGTGAATAGGTTTCAGTGGAACTTCCAGAGTAAAACAGACTAGGAAGAAAGACCTAGGATCTACTTCCAGAAATTATCCAATAAATACCTATGGATCAGAACATCAACCAGTACAGTGCTGGAGGATGAGCCTCCTAGTTTGGAAGGCAACAATGGACTCAACCATGTTGGCAGTCATGAAAATGGTGCAGGACCAGCAGCGTTTTGTTCTGTTGTGCATGCGGTCACCATAAGTCGGAGCCAACTTGACAGCAACTAACAATGACAGTATTACTTTTGCTAAAATTTCCCATGATATTCATGTTGCTAATTCTCATAAACACTTTCACTTGCTTGGCTTCTAGGCTGCATTTGGCACTATCACTGTGTCTTTTTCAAAATAGTCACTCTTATTCACTTCCATGACACAATATCCTTCTAGTTTTCTTCTCACTCTTTTGCCACTCAAGAGTCTCATTCTTGACTTGTTCCTAAGATCTCTGATTTGGGTCCTCTTTTCTTTTTACCATACACTGTTTCCCTCATTGACATCCTCACGCATGGCTTCAATTGCAATACTTATGCTGATGTCTCCTAAATTGGTGTCTTCCATCTGGATCTCTCTCCTGAGCTCCAGACTTGTGCATCCAACACCTTTGTGTACACTTGTTTTTGGATGCTTTACAGACATTTCAAATGTAACTGTTCCAAAAGTAAACGCATTAGACTCTCCCACTTGCTCCTTTCTAATATCTCTCATCTCCATGAATGGTACCAAAATTCACTCCCTTACCCAAGTCAGAAACCTAAGAATTGTCCTTAAGAGTAAGGGAAATGCCTGCATTTCCTATAACCAGTCAATCAACAAATATTGTTTATTATAACATAGTTTGGACATATTATCAGGAGGGACCAGTCCCTGGAGAAGGACATCATGCTTGGTAAGGTAGAGGGTCAGCGAAAAAGAGGACGACCCTCAGCAAGATGTATTGACACAGTGACTGCAAAAATTGGCTCAGGTATAACAATTGTGAGAATGGTGCAGGACTGGGCAATGTTTCGTTCTGTTGTACCTAAGTTCAATGATACCTAATAACAACAACAGTAACTTGAAAACAGCATTTCCATTGCCTTTTTTCTAGTAGTCCAAGCCACTGCCCACTCTCAACTGGTTTACTAATATTTTTAACATTTCATACATACAGCCTTAAAAAGCCCAAAACCCAGGCCCTTTTTCCACAGAGCAACCGAAAAGATCTTTTAAAAACACATTAGACTGTTTGCTAAAAGCTTGTCAGTAGTGCATTATTGCTTTAGGATTAATTCCAAACTCTTTATATGCCCTCAAGGTCTTTCATGATCTGTCTGTCTCTTTCTTGCTTTAGCTGTCTTTACTCTTGCCCTTGAACTATACACGTCTGCCATTCTGAAATGCTTTTAGTTTCTTACCTCATCTTTCATAGTGTTTCCCTCTCTGCTTGGAATGCCCTTCTAACTCCATGTTATCACTTATCTTTCAGGTCTCAGTATAAATGTTATTTCCTCTGGGAGGACATACAGGCCCTGGAGAAATGTAGACCTCCTCTAGAGGCTCCCATATCTCTTATTTTCCACTTAATACACTTATCACAGGTTGTTGGAATTACCTGTTTCACTGTAATGCTTCTCTGTTACACTAAAATCTCCAGGACAGTAGGGATTAAGTCATTGGATTTATAACACATAACTCCTGGCCTCAGTAAATATTTGTTGAGCAAACTAATAAACAAATAATTGAAGAAAGAAGAGTTTAAAGTGAATTACTTTGGCTTTCAATACATTTTATTTAACAATACTGGAAAGCTTAAATGTTTCTCGTAAAACTCACTAAATATGGTTTAATGTAAGAGCAAAAAAATAGGTTGCTTCAATCTCTTAACCAGGACTTCAAAGAGGTTTTAACCTTTGGATTTTATAGGGCTTCTTGAATACTCACTGAGTCTATCCTTGCACAAAGTTGTCAGGCCTTCCATTTCTCTTAAGTGGAACTTCTGATACTTATCTCTAAGACCAACCCCACTTCAATCAGTGAACTAATGTCAATGCGAGACCAGAGGGTTTTAAAGAATGTTCTTCAAGTGCTCTCAGATGCACTTGGAACCCAGCTTTGATTTTGGTTCTATTCTGATGACTTGGTTCGTTTTGTTTCCCTGACAGAATGTCTGTGTTATAAATTTGCCTACTTACCTTATTCATCTAAGACTATGGCCAAATTTTATAATTACAATCCTACCAATATGGAATGGATTAGTATTTGAACACACTTCTATGATGCCAGCTCTCTGGCTATCTAGGCATCACAGTAACCCCTGTCTTGGAATCTGCTTATTATGGTTTATACATAATAAGGACATGTTGTTGCTGTTGTTAGATGCCATGGAGTTTATTCTGACCCATAGCCATAAGGATATAAGGGACCAATAAGAGCACCTCATTATCTTGCATCAGATTCATTTACACAGACGGTCAGTCCTCCCACATCACTACACATTGTCTGCTCTTACACACTTCTGATATAGTATTCTGCTAATAAAAATAAACTTCTGCTCATATATCAAGCTAACTCTTCCTTTTACTCAAAACCATTTTGCGCCTGCCTTATGCTGCTTTATTCAACTGCAGAATGTCTGGGTGTAGTAAAAAACATCACATAATTCACAAATAAAATCCCAATTTTGTATAGTTTTATCCTAAATGCATCCAATTCCATGAATCCTTTAGCCCATGCCCCAGGCACAGAATTCTAGATTCCAAACCCAACCCAACCCATTGCTGTCAAATTCTAGATTACCCACATGCAAATCTAGATGAGTCACTAGGCATAACTGCATATTCTGATTCATAATGTAACGGCCTAAGGAATGGAAGCATTATCTCCGTTGAACATACTTCTGGTTTCCGGTAGTGGAGATTGGTAAAGACTTTCAGACCCATACCCTTCAAAGAAACAAACAAAAAAAAAATTGCACTTTCCCTTCACATGAGAGCTAAAAAAGGCTTATCAGCTATAAATAGATCATAAATACACACATCTTCTGTGCTAGCAAGAGTTCTGGAATCCTAGAAGTTGAGTCACCTCTATTTGATTTATGGGGGAAAAAATCCTTAATTTAGAGAAAAAATGATAATTACTGGAATTTGTCTAGCACTTAGTATGTGCTAGCATTTTGCTAAGTATTTTACATAATGCCCCATTTAATCCTAAGAGAAAAAAAAAATCATTACAAGTAGAAATCATTATAAGTAGAGGTAGACACTATCATTACCCTAATCAACATCAAATACACACACACATTCACACACATATGCACACATATACAATGCACATCTAGTAAACTGGAGAGCTGAGAACTGACCTAAAGTCGGTCTGATTCTATGGCCCTTCTAAGCCTGTGCCTGTAATGATAAAGATCCTTTCATGAAGGTCTCAACATATATAACTGACAGCCTAGGTATATATGGAGCCCAAAATCATATTTTGGTCTCTTGATTTGACTATTTCTGCAGAAATATATCACAATAAATTTGAAACCATCTCATTACCTTTAACATGATATTTTATTATTCCAGCTACATAATTTATTTTCAACAGAAAAAAGAAAATCAAGAAAAAATAATATCTTCTATTTATAATTTCTGAGTGCTCTATTAGCAAATTACAGACCATAAACTCAAAGATTAAGAAGAAAACTACATAATTAATAAAACAGACATGCATTGTACAAACACTAAAATTAAATTTGAGGTATTTTCTACAATCTTAGTGAACTTACCCTAACAATATTACAGATGTCTCCATCCCCATAATTGCTTACAGGCATATAATACAAACCATTGTAAAACATATCCTTCTGAGGAATGCAGGGGTTGAGCTTTTCATCATCAAGATTGAAATCATGATAGAAATAACCATATGGTTCTGTACAGGGAAGCAGATTGTACACCTATGAAAAAATCACATGGTTCCTAATTATTTTAAGCACTCCTTTAAGAAAATAAATAAATTGACAAATATTGTGCCATAGCCATCTATTCTGGTTCTTTTCTTTACAAGCATGCCCACAACATTTGATCTAAAAGTTTTGAGTCGTTTTATTCTTCCAAAAGAGAAAGACTTCCATTTTGTTTTATGCAGTTCAATGTCATGTTCACAAAATTTTTCAGCTTTGGTGCTGGGTTTAAGACAGCATAAAAGAAAAAAAAAAAAAGCCTGAAGATTATGATTCATGACTATCAAATTAATTAAATTTTCCAGCTCTACGTTTAAAACTGGGTTTACGACTGAATGTTACTTTTAAAAGCAGAATAGAAAACCAAATTTGTTGATAAGATCTTAATTTTACAAAATGTATCTGTCCTCAGGAAAGAGATTTAAAAGAATTACACCAAAAATGTAAAGATATCTAAGTGTTTAGATTAGACGATTTAAAAAAATTTCTTCTTTACACTTCTGTGTATTTGGCACATTTTCTAGAACACAGAGATATCATTTTAATAACGAGAAAAATGTTCTAATTATTAAACCTAGATTTACATACAGTCATAAATTTCAATAGTTATTTCTATGTATTTGGAGCCCTGGTGGCACAATGGTTAAGAACTATGGTAGCTAACCAAAAAGTCAGCAGTTCAAATCCACCAGCTGCTCCTCGGAAGCCCTGTGGGGCAGTTCTACTCTGTCTTATAGCGTTGCTAGGAGTCAGAATCCAGTCAGTGGCAACGAGTATTAATAGATAATAACTATAGACACTATTCAGGCATATTCTTTAACATAGAGATTTCTTTTAACCCTAGGTTGCCATATCTATGGTTATACCTATGATTAAAAAATCACATTGTTGTCTATTTCCTAACCCATTGTAATTACTCATAGAATTCTATATTGTTATAAGCACTGGGTCTGCCCAGAAGAATAATTAAGTATATATAATTAAGTATAAAACTCATGAAGAAACAAAGGAAGAAAACATTTGATAATTTCAACACGTTCCATTTCAAATAGAAACGTCATATAAAGAGGTAGACTTGTAGGAATCCAGATAAAAATGAGGAAAATGAAGAAATCAGAGAGCTTACACTTTCAGCTGATAGCTGTTGCTCTGGTTTCAGTAGAAGAACGCTTTTATCCATAGCCCTCAGAGCACAGAATGAATTAGTGGCTGCTTGAAGGTAGAGATTAACATTGGAGCCAGGTAGTCCCTCCTCCTTAGAGAACTTTATGGTAACCTGAAGAGCAGAAAGAAAAGGAATGGAAGCAGAGATTATTTAATGTGAAGATAACTGGAATATATTCAATCATTTCCAAATAAATCTGTCTAAATTTCCAGGAAATCTATATTTCCCCTGCCCGCTCTCGTCTTCACTCTCCTTGCAGAGGCAACTCCCTCACAACCCACCTATCATCCCAGGATTGACATGGCTGCCAAAAGTTATTCATTCTGCTTGGCGATTCTGTCATCCCCTTATTATTTACCTATGCCAACATTGATGAGAGAGTACCGTTTAAAGGTTGATATGCTAGTCATCGAAGACAGACACAATAGGAAACAAAAGGCTCACCCCTCTCACTGGGAACAAGCCACAAATAGAAGAAGAATCACCTTGTTTTTAAAGCACTTGTCAACCTGGAATCTGACACTGTCAGTCACAATTTCCCCACTGGGGTGAAGGGTGTGGACAAACATGATGGCCACAGGAGCCAGATCAGCACTGATGTTATAGGGAATGAGAAGTTTCCATTCCAGGCTGTGTAAGTAAGAAATGTCATCAACTGTTAACGACACCAAAAATGTTCTGGATCACTGGGCATACTTAGATAAGAGAAAATAACTTATGAATAAAAAGAAGAAATTGGGCATTGATTTAAAGGCAAACGAATCAAATAATGGGAACTATGTATACAAATAACGAAGCAATAACAATATTTGGTTTTTGGCCATCACTTTTCTATAATGTACTTGAAGACTTGGAAATAACAGCAACAGGTGGAAATCTCCTTCATCAAAATAGTTAGTAATTTATCCTACGCCATGCTCACTATTGCCCTCTATCCACAAATCAAAATGTTAAACACTCTTTTTAACCTCTCGACTCTATCACTATAATATTTCCCTAAAAAAGAAAAAAAAAAGGTGAAGATACAGTACAAAATGGATGCATTGTACACACCATTGTTTCTGACTTCCTTTTGTCCTCTGAGGAGGATACTTCCTCTTACCATCATCTGTGCAGAACAAAGAAAACACAATAAGTGATATTACTTCTAATGATAATTCTACTCCATAAGCTAAGAGAGTTTGCATAAACAAATATTAAAAATGAACTTTGCAAAACCTGAAAGAGAACAGAAAAAAGTGACTACAGTTTATTGACAGCCTATTATGTGCTAGGATGAGGCATTGATGGGTCAGTGGTAGACTTCTCGCCTTCCATGCGGGAGAGTTGGGTTTGATTCTCAGCCAATGCACCTCATGTGCAGCTGCCACTCTTCTGTCAGTGGTGGCTTGTGTGTTGTTATGATTCTGAACAAGTTTCAGTGGAGCTTCCAGGCTAAGACTGACTAGGAAGAAAGACCTGGAAATCTACTTCCAAAAATCAGCCAATGAAAACTCTACGGATCACAAAGAAACACTATCTGATCCACAGCTGACTATGGGGATAATGCAGGACTGGGCAGTGTTTCCTTCCACTGAGTGCGGGGTTGTCATGGATTGAGTTGACTCAAAAGCAGCTAACAATGAAAACATTAAGTGCTAGAAACTTTGTGAACAATGTGCAATGTATCGTGTAAGGAGGTGCAGAAGACTGATTTGTCCAGACTGCCTGGTTTCAAACCTGCCTTCACCTACTCATTATCTCTGTGACCTCAGACACGTAGTTTCACTTTGCATCTCTCCAGTTATTTGTAAAATGGGGATATTCATAGGACTGTTGTTAGGAGCCCTGATGGCGCAGTGGTTAAGAGCTTGGTTGCTAACCTTAGTGATTGGAACCCACCAGCCACTCCAGGGAAGAAAGATATGGTAGTCTGCTTCCTGTAAAGATTACAGTCTTGGAAACCCTTTGGGGCAGTTGTACTCTGTCCAACAGGGACGCTGTGAGTCAGTTTTGGTTGTGAGAATTAAATAAACTAACACATGTAAAACCCTGATAACAGTACCTGACACATAATACTTACGCTAGGAGGTAAATCTTATTATTTCCAATTACAAATATAGAGCTGAGGAAGCTAAAGCTCAGATAGTTTAAACAATTTGCCCAAGATCAACTAGCTTGCCAGATAAATGCGGTAGGGAAGAATCGTAATTTCCAAGACTGTGTCTACCCACAAGAGATAGATACGGGGGAAAAAATTAAAAGGGCTAATTCTTTTTTTTTTTTTTTTGTCTATCAAAATCAACCTTCCACTTCATTCTCTGACATCTGTCTAATATTTTATTACCACAAAGGAAAGTAAATACTTGATAGGAATTACTATTGAATGCTTAAAAAAGTAGACTTTGAATAGCAATTTTTTCAGCCTTAGGAAAACCGAAATTGCCTTAGTTTTGTATGTGTGTGTTTTTATGTTTAATGGGCCCAATAGTATTCATCAGCAAGGTAAGAAGGTTGAGCTCACTCGGATTAACATGGCATAATTGATGTACCACCACTTAGTAAACGGAACTGCGCTAAGCATACATCCAAATAGACAGATTCCAAGAAGCCACCTACTGAGCCTTACCAAATAGAAGAAGTTTACATTTGAATTATCTGTATATGCTTCACTGTTTAGGGAATAATGTACAGTAATAATCTTCTGTTGATTGCACTTAAGCTGCTTTGGTTCTGGAATGATCTTCAGGAAGCTGTTGGTTCTGGAGTAAAAGCGTGAGACTGATAAATGAGCATCTGCATAGTCAGGCGTCAACCAGCTGGACCCGTAGCAGCTCTTTCGTCGAATATATCTGGCCCGATACAATAAAGGAAAGCAAAGAATCTTAAGATTCAGAAAGACCTTTCAAAGACAGTAATTATTACAGAACAGAAGGCTTCTTATCTCCTCAGAGAGGAGTCTTAGCTTGTATTTGGTGTTTCATGAAGTTATAGCACTCTCTTTTTTACATATATATATAAAACATGATCATAATTATATAAATATTTCACTAGACCTACAATGAATTATTTATTTTTATTTTTTAATTAAAGTCAGAAAACTGGATTCAAGTATCATTTCTTTCAGCTACATTTGAACACCGTCGAATTGTTTAACTGCAAAATTCTGTTTAAGCAGCAGATAAACGAAGCATATCTTTCCTATCTCTGCATAAAATGATCTAAGGAAAAAAGCCAAAACATCTCTATGAGGTACTTCTAGTTTCTCAGAAGAGTATATTAGTAGTTCGAGAATTCATAACAATTGTAATAGAATATTAGCGTCTCATCCTCTCAAGTAAACATTCTCATGTAATATTTAATGAACAAGCAAAAGATATAAAATGTCCTAAGTTTTAAAACTTTGTTAAAATGCATTCCCAATACAAGTTATTTCTTAAGAGATTCCTAGTATTACAAATTCCTAATGTTCAGATCCTCTGTGGGATTTCTTATTGTCTTGATGACTTACTTTCAGGCTGAATTCTGGATCAATTATGTCTGAAGTGTCAAGGGAAAACTGAGCTTCACCATTCGCATCTGTGGTATGATTTCCTATAAATTTGTCATTGAACTCCAATTGCAATAACTTGCTCACCATAGGTACATCACTGGGACCAGAAAATTTAAGCTGTATGAAAAAGGAAGCATTAATATTCTTAAAGTACAGAATTTTCACATTCCTATAGAGAAAAAAAATTTTCTGTTCATAAATGTGATCCTTTATTTGTAGTTTTCTTAAATTCCAGTGGAGAGATGCTTTATTAAGTAAATATATAATATGAAAACAGCTACAATTTTATCCATCACTTTCTCTGATACTAGGTCTTTTTCCAAAAGATCAGACAAAATAATGCTAAAAATGTATTATTTTTACATAGGAAAATATGAAAAAAATGTGTCTAGAGAGTCTCAAAAGGCAGTCCATGATCAAAGAAAATGAAATGGGAACATATATTTCTTCAAATCAAACCTACAGTTCCAAAATAAGTAATTCCTCTTCTATAGAAAGGGTCCATGTTCTCAAAGTTCACACTCCCAAGCAATTGAGTGATAGAAACAGAGGTCTTTTCACTGATCCGCACACCTGTAAGAAATGGCAAAAAATGTCAGGGAGGGATGCAATCGTTTGATCAAGGATTTCAAAAGAAGAGATAGCTTAGGATACACGCACAAACTTCTACACAATCATATTCTTGTTCTACATTGAAAGGGAGGCCTGGACGCTCTGGAACATCTGGTGATAGTCGTTTACATAAAACTAAATAATGCAATCGATATGAAAATATTTAGATTAGAAGCAGGAGAAAAGTTCTTAACTTCCTCGCTTCTGCTTACTCTACTCAGGCCTAGCTTGTGAGACTCTTTATGATGGAGAATGTCATAGGCATCTCAAATATAAGGCTTTCCCTTTCTGAATCTTTCTCAAGCCTGCAAGATAACTAGATTTCAAAAATATCTGTTCAAAGGGTAAGCAGAAATGTTTTCTGATACCAACAAAGCAAGTAAATAAGCATATTCAAACATCTAGCTAAATTACTATCAGTAACAATATAAATGCCACAATCTTACCATCAGGAATGCCATCAAAATATTGATCAAGAATGTTTGCATAAAGCATCTTATAAATATAACCCCAAAACCTTTTTTAAGTAACCAGAAATAATTAATAATTGAATCGGGTGTCCTCACCCCAAGTAAATCACTCCTTTTTTTTTTTTCATTCTCTTAATAAATATTTATTAAGCACCTATTATGTGCCATTTTGTAAATTTCTCAATAATAACATTTTCACTTGCAAGGGTCCTCAGGTGAATTAAACCAGAGGTTGGTAAACTTTTTCTGTAAAGTGTCTAATAGTTAATATTCTGGGCTTGTGAGCCATATGATCTCTGCTGCAACTACCCAATTGTTGTTTTATCTATAAAGCCAGTTAGACAAACTAGTGTGGCTGTGTTCCAATAAAACCTATTTACATATACAAGCAGGGGGTCATATTTGGATCTCAAGTTATAGTTTATGGACACTTGAAATCCCTGTGTGGTGTAAAACTGTTAATGTGCTCAGCTACTAACTGAAAGGTTGGGGACTTAAGTCCACTCAGAGGCTCCTCAGAAGAAAGGCCTGGAAATGTACTTCTAAAAATCAGCCATTAAAAAATCTATGGAGCACAGTTCTCTGACAGACTTGGGATCGCCATGAGTTGGAGTCAACTCGACAGAAACTGATGGGGTATTTGCTTACCAACTGCTTATTAACTGATTTAACACAAAGTAAGAAAGAGATATTCTATATGCAGCTAATTTATCAGTTCAGCTCTGCTACTTCAGAGGGAAGTTTCTCCATTTGTCTGATTGATACAGGCACAGATGCAGATATAAACACATAACATGTATATAACAAAATGATTTTAAATATTATTAGGAAAATTTTATTCAAGAGCAGTCCTCAAGTTAACCTATTGGCACATGTATTTAATTTTGCTATTTTGAGCAATAAATTAATCTGTATTTGGTGCATATTACTGACTAAATAAACTTCTTCACAGTAAACTGCCATATATCCCCAAATTGCCCATAAGATCATTACCTGTTCCAATTTCTGTAACAACTGTCATGATATCAAATGACATAAAAAATCCAGAACGGTAGAGTTGGAAGACTTTTGTATTTACAATTTGAGAAACACAACCATTTCTCAACTGAAAAATAAACAGAAGGTATAATGAAAAAGTTAGGGATCCAAGAATCGTTAAAAATGATAGGAGCTTTATCACAGATATATAATCCCCACCTCCAATTCCTCCCCACCTCCTGCCTCATGATTCCACCTCACAAACTTGTTAAAATGACTAAAGAATTGAAGAAGAAGCAGGAGAAAGAGGAGAAGGAGGAGGAAAGAGAACGAGAAGGAAGTAAGAAGAGGGAGGAGGGAGAAGAGGAGAAATTATTATTATTTACATCACTATTTAAAATAAGGTGAGAAAGTAATCTGTATGTCACAGATTTCAAGATTTCAAGGAAATTCTATGGAAACAATGTATACGGGAGTAGATGAAAGGATGCCAGTGGAGCTGAATGATATTTTAAAGGAGTAAAAAATTAAAACCATCTTGAAAGGCACTAGTGAGTCACATCAACCCTGTGGAAAATTAAATCAGTCCTTTGGAATACAAGTCCAAGAATTTCATCCCCCACTAAAAATGAGGGGAACAGCACCAAGACTTAAAAGTATAGAAGACAAGAGAATGTTTATGGAAGATAAATGATAGTTATAAAACCCATTGCCATTGAGTCGATTCTGATGTGCATAGTGTCCCTATAGGACGGAGAAGAGCTGCTCCATAGGGTTTCCAAGGAGTGGCTGGTGGATTCAAACTGCTGACCTTTTGGTTAGCAACCGAGCTCTTAACCACTGCACCACCAGGGCTCCAGTTATATCTCTGTATATTTTTAATTTCCATGAAAGACAAACGAACAGATGGAACAGAAGCACTCTTCAAATATGTATCACTGAATTTTTCAGGTAAATTTTTCATTTGAAATATGAAAAAAATCTATAGATAATCTTTCATCTGTGACATCAACAATTAGAGAAATACAGATTCAGTTATATTTTAAAATAAAAAGTGATTATTAACTCGAAACTTATAATGTTAGAATGATATAGTCATTCATCTTATCCTCAAGACTACTATATGAGCTAGGCACTATTATTGCCCCCATTATACGGATGAATAAACTGGACCACAGGTAGGTTATATAACCTGCCCAAGGTCATACAATTAAAAGGTGCTGAAATAAAGCAGGCATTCTGACTCCAGAGTGTGTACTAATTATAATGCAGTCAAATTAAAAACAAATGATAAAAAGTGACTAGACAAAAAAAACAAAACATTGCTGTCCAGTTGATTCCAACTCATAGCAACCCTACAGGACAAAGTAGAACTGCCCTAGAGGGTTTCCAAGGAGTGACTGGTGGATTCGAACTGCTGACCTTTTGGTTAGCAGCCTGAGCTCTTAACCACTTCACCACTAGGGCTTAATTACTTTGGAATTAATTAAAGAAAACATTTTTTAGTAATCCTGAAATCAAAGAAAAATTAATAACAATCTAGTATTAACATAAAGGACAAAATGCCTTGCATCAAAATCTATGGTGTTAAGTTATGCTTAAAGGAAAATGTAAAACTCAAAATGTGTTTATTACCAAAGAAGTATCTAGCACATTAAAAACATTAATAAAATAAACAAAAAATATTTGGAAAAGGGATAAGTAAGATAAAGCTAAAATAAATTATTTAGAAAGAAAAAAATACCAAATAAAATATAAACCAAAAGACAGAATAAAGGCCCATAAACAGTTAAATCTTTTATGAACATGATTTGGAATAACTAGGGAAAGCAAACTTGTACAAGTTTAGGTGCTAACACAACTAAATATCTGTCTGCAAGATAATTCCTTGTTTTAGACCATAATTAAAAATAAGTTGTATGTGGTTTAGAGAAGTTACAAAAACAAGTAATCAACATATACCTAGATGGGTACGTGTATAACACAGGGCAGGTAAAATCGTTTTCTAAGGCTGGAAACCCATAAACATTAGGAAGTTTGGGATGTCAAAAATACCACAAAGTTAAATACCAAACTTAAAATATTTGCCAAGCGGATAAAAAAAAAAAACAAAACAAAACCCAGTTGCCATGGAGTTGATTCTGATTCATAGAGACTCTATGTGTGTCAGAGTAGAACTGTGCTCCATAAGGTTTTCAATTCCTGATTTTTTGGAAATAGATCACCAGGCCTTTCTTCCAAGGTGAGTTTGGGTGGACTCAAATTGCCAAGAGTTCTTTTGGTTAGCATCTGAGCACGTTAACGATTTGCACCACCCACAGATTCCAATAGAGAGTAATATTTACTATATAAGAAAGTTTCAACTGAAACAGGAAAAAATATATACTAGAAAGTTAGCAAAGATCAGAGGGTATCTAGGGCCTCACACATGAGCCTCCCATTGATGGGCCAAGCAAATCATCAAACATGGATGAGTTGGCTTGGATTAAAGGCTCAGGATCATGATAAGCAAAACATGACTAGCCCTTGTGAAAGAGCAGAATGATAGCATAATTTTTTCAGCACAGTCAAAATATTTCATCACTTAAAAATACAAAAACCCCTCAAAAAATTCAACTATTGAGTTCCGGCAAAATGACGCTCTAGGCAGAAGCACCACACCGTCCCTCCACAGCACAGATCCGAAAAACTAAGCCAAACAGAGAATACAACAATCCTGAAACCCTAAAACATTAAATGAAGAGATAAAGAACTCAGCCAACCACCAAATGGAGTGAGAAAACTGACAGAGAACAGACAGCGAGGAGAGATTCATGCAGAGGTCCCCTACCAGCTAACGCAGCACGGATCCACCATCTTGGACTCCTATCGGAGACCAGCAAATGGGGGTA